GAGTTTTAGATCCTAAAGTCTAGAGCAAACTCAGAACCGTTTGCATCTGTTGTTCTACAGCAAACAAACACAAACAAGGTGGTTTTTATTCCTTTTCTGAGAGATCATCTAAAGGGGTTCAGTTTCAGTGGCATCCCCCCTTCTTCTTCCAACACTCAACAGACGTCTGGGGACAGAGGAGACCAGTTTCTCCAGTTTAGAAATAGGAATGCTCTCCCATTCATGTCTAATACAGGCCTCTAACTGTTCAATCGTCTTGGGCCTTCTTTGTCGCACCTTCCTCTTTATGATGCGCCAAATGTTCTCTATAGGTGAAAGATCTGGACTGCAGGCTGGCCATTTCAGTACCCGGATCCTTCTCCTACGTAGCCATGATGTTGTGATTGCTGCAGAATGTGGTCTGGCATTATCGTGTTGAAAAATGCAGGGTCTTCCCTGAAAGAGATGACGTCTAGATGGGAGCATATGTTGTTCTAGAACCTGAACATGGTTCTCTGCATTAATGGTGCCTTTCCAGACATGCAAGCTGCCCATACCACAAGCGCTCATGCAACCCCATACCATCAGTGATGCAGGCTTCTGAACGGAGCGTTGATAACAACTTGGGCTATCCTTGTCCTCTCTGGTCCGGATGACATGGCGTCCCTGGAGTTGTGAATTAGCTGTAGCTCTAAACTCTTTGTGCAACGCATCAGTCACAGACTTGTTCTGTTCTTTGTTTGTGTGCACTGTCCCTGTCAAATAAACTACTACAACTAGTACTACTACTAATATTATTAATAATAATAATAGATGTAGCAACAAACCAAATAGAAGTTGGTACCTCACTTATTTTTAAAGTTATTGCGCTCACAACGTGTACGGATGGACGGACAGACACAGTGTATTTACGAATCTCCTTTTCGCTCCAGGATGGGGACAATAAACGGATGTGACGTAACTTCGGAGAGTCCCTGGGAGCTGTCGGAGCTTACAGACACGTCGTCCTGCTGTCAGCAGCTGGATTTCTGATAACAACAGCGAGGAGCTGGAGGCTTTGAACAAAACAGACCTTTTCAGTTCAGGAGGTCAGAACGGGTCCGAGCGGGTCCGAGCCTCAGACAGGTGAAGGCTTTGATAAGTGTGAGCCTGTAAATGATCTGTGATTGCTGGCTGTTCTCCAGAGCTTTGTCATAAATCTGATGGAGCTTACACCTGGTTGTTTTGGGAATCTCTTTATTCCACGACTGGTTTGAATCTGATTCATGGCTAATTGTTTAAAGTACTTGATTATGACAGAAGCCAGAGTCAGACTGTCAATGAGGCTGATGATAATATGGTGGCAGTATGAATCTATGCTGGTCTGCTAGAGATCATCATCAGATATCTCAGCAGCACAATCGTCCAACAGGGTTTTGACTTGCTCCTGTTGAGTTCTGGTTTTTCCTTCCCATGAACTTTTGGAGGAATTACTCTCCAGCATCAGTCTCCGTGCAGACTCTGTCGTTCTGCTGCGCTCGGCAGTTTAGGCTCGTTTTGCTGGTTTGCTTTTTTCCTCCTTTCTCGCCAGCAGCGTCCTGAGTGTCCTTCAGCGCTGCAGCTGAGCTGTTCCTGCTGAGCTCTGCAGAGACGAGTCCACAACGAAACCAAACGCATCCCATCATGTTCTCATCTAAATATAAAAAAAGCACTTTCTATTCATATTGTTCTCAGGAGATGAAGGTAAATGTGAGATGTGCTTTAACTGAGAGTTCAGTTAACTTTTTGTTCGGAGACGAGGAAAAACAAAGAAAGTCTTAAAAATGTACGAGCACTAAACTCCACTTAAAGAACGCTTCACAGGAAACAGGTGAAAATCAGTTGAAATGGTTGTTATTAATGGTTGTTATTAATGGTTGTCAATGGTTGTTATTAATGGTTGTTAATGGTTGTTAAATTCCAGTCACAGGAACAAGAAACGCCGTTCTCCTTCAGCTCCAGAGTTTTAAAAATCAGAACATAATCAAACTGATCCGTCTCTAAAACGATTTAAATCCAACTTCAAGCGGACAAAAACACTCAACAGATTCCATCATGTCAATATTTTTATTTGCGTGTGTATCTGTGTGTGCGGTGCATTTGTTGAACAGTTAAATCAGGGATATTCAACTGGCGGCCCCGGGGCCAAATCTGGTCCACTGGTGAGCTCAGTCCGG